GTCTGGCATGGAGCATTTTTGGGACCTATCCACGCAACGCCTATTTTCTGGCCATTCTTGGATGTATGTCGTGAATTTTACTTGAAAATACTACGCGTCAAATGAGAAAGAAGAACAACAGATAATAGTCGTTCAGGAATGCTTAGATTCCCCAGAGAAGCCCCCAGAGACGCCCCCCAGCTGTGTTCGTTATCGGAGATGGCCGTGGCCTGTAGGCATGAATCGAGATATCTTGCGAGCTGCCGCAAGCCAATAGCTTAGGTTCGCTTGGCTTGAGGATCCAGACATGACGAGCTATCATCTGATCTAGCTTTGAGAAGGTCCTTCCTTGGTAGGCAGTCTGAATCGTTATCGGTCTCTCATGATATTCGTCATCTCGACACTATGTTGGATTCGGCGGTCTTCATTGATATCAGCGACTTCATTGACGTTGATAGGTGACGGCGATGTTGTAAAGACACATTAAGATCTTGTAATGAGAACATGGACCTTACGACGGACTATGTCTGTTTATTATACGCCCAATTTACGTATTAATAATTTTGGGGGATGGGGGTTCCCGCCTCCCATTGCCCGTAGCCGCGCTAACCCCCACGCCTTTGATCTACTGAAGACTTGGCGAGCTTGCAGCTTAGAGTAGGACCTGATCTTTCATGACGATTTCCCATGTGCAGCTCAAAATAGGACGGATAGACATGGGGACCGCGCATCAGTCGCACAGCCTTACGCCCAGCATGCAATTGTGCCTCCATCGCAGAAGCCCAGACATGGTGGGTGAGATGGAAATGTCTCGCCCAGCCTGCGATCCCAATACGGTCACTAGACCGTACATGACACAGACCTGCCCCCAGCTAACCTGGTTGGACTTTGGATTTTCCATAGCACTAATAGCCTCTTTTCTTCTTCCGTCGACCTGCAGTCGCTAGACCACACATGACTGGTGTGGCTGTAAGGACAGCCAGTTATAGCCAGCCAAGGGAGCCGCGACGCTGAGGACCCCGATCGTAATTAAAGAGGCCCGCGGAGATTGTTCACCCCAGAATGCATGCTGCTGCAGAGCAGGGCGCGCACCAAAGCTGCAGGAAACTGTTCAGCTCAAGGCCCAGAACCTCGGGGTCTGCATCTCCTTCTCCCCGTGGCAGCATCGAGCAGCGTTCACTGGAATCGTCGTCCGCCGAGTGAAGCTGCCCACCTCCTGTATGTGGTTGGGACGACTTGGCCATCCGCGCCAAACATGGCTGGTGGGGTGGTCTGAGGGATGGACGCTGCAGGCAAGGATACGTGAAACCGGGTTCTTATGAATACCACCTACACCGAGGGCAGGGTTGTATCGCTTGGCAGCTAAACGCTTCATCAGAGCTAGCTTCTCAGCCTGCCAGATGTCATAGAATCGTACATCGAAGCCGTGAAGCGTGAAAAATTCTCCCCCTCGGCAGCGGCCGCCTCCGTCTCGCCTCCTCCCATCTCGCATCCAGCCGCATTCTAGAGGTGATGTGCCGTAGCGCACGTTGGTGCCCTTGGATAGGCTGGAGAGGTCTCCATGTTACACAAGCTCTCTGCATGGGAGGCGCTATGCACGCCTACGAGACAGCCAAGGCACTGTACCTTGAGGGTGGCAGCACGGCTGGCCCCCAAGTACTGGGTACATCAAAGGGTTCAGGGCGAGATGCGCCCCTAAAAGGGTCTTCGGTAGGAACGCACCTCGTTTTGAGGGAACGCATCTTCGTTCATCTGCCCTTGCGCTCCCTCACATTAACTCAAACTATTGCAACATTATGCGTCCGTTCCATCTCCCACTCGCTAGCAACCGGTTGAGATGCATGAGTGCCATCCTGGTGTGCACTACGTACTACACTCACTTCCTATGGGTGTGCCGCGTGCAGGGTGTCGCCTGTCTACTATGCATGATGAGCATGCAGTCACATCCGGATTTCGTAGTCCACCCTGCGGCGGGAGAGCCGTCCACAGATCGCTCTGCTTTCATTAGGCCATCACCGATTGGGAGTTGTCAAATGGTAATGTCATAGTGAGAAAGGAGGGGCAGAGCATCGTTAGTCGCATCGTGGAGTGATATGGATATCATCATGGCTGGGCCGCCTCGATTAGGTCGATCCTAGGGACCTTCCGCTCAGGAATCCCGTGATGATTCGTGCTCTATCCTCCTTTAGGGAACGGTGAGGCCTGTGATGGGGTGCGATGGTGTCCGCCCCAATATGACGGGTGGATATTGCATGGACTGTTGCAATGTATTGCAAGGATAGAACAGGGTTCTCCAAAGTTGTATCTTCACCATTGGCGGCACCCGATATTACCTCTTGTGTGTATGCACTGGCAAGCAAGCAAGTTTGAATCATGATTGCCGGCTAGCAACGCTTTGGAGGACTGAACCACATAAGGGAGGGAGGGAAGACGTCAGGGGGGTCTGAGCTACGTGATGTGTAATATTGCAGGAGACCAACGCACACCCACGTTGCCCTCCATCCGGTATCGCCTTGCGCAACCTCGCAAATTCTCATACTTGCCATTAACCAACCAGTAGGCGATAAGGCCATCTGGAAACCTCAATGACCCCCACTGAAGCCATCTACCTGGGATGCATCCCACTCATTCCCCAGGATTTCCGCAGGACAACTCGACAGAATGAGTACTGATGGATGCAAGGGATTCCCACAATCCATGTATATGAGATTGTTCCCCAGACGGGGAAGCACACCATGAACCACATTGGAAAGAGATGAACTGGTTGGGTACATGTCGAGTGGGTAAGGTGGCCATATAGATGCAACCTTTAAAGCATGTAGTCATGTAAGAACACCCCGCTGGGTGGCAGTCTGGCGCCATGAGCTTGGCAGAAGGCATGTAATCTCTAGTTGTACTCAGGGCCGAGCCGGGAGGTATGCTTCTCTTCGACGCGTTGCGCCCTTTCGAGACACAATGCCTGTCCATTTCAATAATACGAAACTGCAAGTAGATGTTCTTGGTATCATCTCCACTCTTGACAGCCGCATGGCTCAGACCTCAAACCAACATAATACCTGGCTCTGGTAGTGGGTGGTCTCAATGAGCGGATGCCACGGAGTGTGAAGAGGGAGGGCCTCTCACACATGCTAAAGGAAGTGCTCGTTAGGCAGTGAACATGCCACTGGTCAGGCATTTCTCTCAAAACCTCGGATGACCTTTTTTAGTCGACTGGTGATAAATATTAGTAGAAGAAAATCAGTTGATGACCAACACCATGGTGTCATGTTATGCTCATCACTCCAGCACTACTCCGTCCTCCCAGTGATAGCGGACAGGGATATCAACCTTTCTTTTTCTCGAGCTGGTCGCTAGTTGAGACATGCGTGTAATCCTAGCCATGTGACTTGATCGAAAAAAAAGTAGCCCGCATTAGCCTCAGCTTCGAGAAAAATGCTCAAGCAAGCTGACGCCAGATGGAATGCCCTGTCTCTGGCCGCCAGCCGAGAAGAGAAAGAGCTATCAGAAATCGAACGGGTCCCAGACCAGGGACATGTGTGCCTATCACTTAGGTCTTACGATAATCCACGATCTGGCTGCTGGTCGTGGTTAGTGGATGTCGGGCCTGCTTGCCTGCCAACGGCGAGCCGAGCAAACTCAATTCGCAATAGCCTTTGGCTCTGCAGTCAGAAAGCCATGTCTCCAAGCGGACGGCTGCATGGCTTCCATGTATGTGTGTGGCTAGAAAAGAACCATTCCAGCTCGGCTGCCCTGCCCAACTGGCTGAGCGAGAGCTGTACCAAGCGCCAGCAGTAGCCGATACCTTATTCGCACCGTTATTTCGTCGGCAGCCCATGTACAGGTTCAGAGGCCCACATCCCGCCCCCAGGTCGGTCCCCTATTGCTGGGCGGAGAAACTGTGTTCAGCCTGGACGCAAGTACATGTACCTCATCCGAGTGCCCCAGCCCGCTGCAATGCTCCCCAAATGTACCCGCTACCAGCGTCCCTCCTCAGCGACGGGATGGCGGACAGTCGCTCTGTGCGTGGCGTCTTAGCGGCGAAATGCCCGCTAGCGCCTGGTGCCCCCCGGTGTCCCCGCCCTCTCCAGGTCCACTGGAGATTAGCATCATCCCCACTCCTGTTCTTCCACTGGGGAGACTGGTATTAGTGCGCGGCACTGCTCAGGCGAACCAAACGGTGTTCTCTTCCCCCCCCCAAAAGGCTAGCAGCCAGTACGTGCAGTACTGCCTGGAAGAAACCAGGATCCCGTTACATTTTCCCGCAACCTGCCTGGACATGGGAACGAAAAACTTGGAGGGTTTCGGCTTCGGTTCTATTATCATATAGCATCGCCCTCCATTTTCGCCCCTCTTCCTCCCTCGTTCTTTCAGGAACATCGTCGCCGCCGCTTGATGAACTATTGCTGAGGTGCTCTGGGCTGCGAGCGCGCGGAGCCCCTACATCACTTCTCTGTGCTGGCTGCGCTTTGCCTTGCGACAACCGTGACAGCCACGTCCCGGTGATTGAGCTGTGCCTCTCCCGAGAGTTGGGTCTCTTGTTTGATGCGCCATGGTTGATTCGCCGCTCTCCATTTGAATTGGAGGGATTGAATACTACCAGCCGGGCCCGAGATTCACTGGCGACGACAGTTCCTCGGCTGGAAGAATCTTCCAAAACTGTTGCGCCCAACTTGATTGCGCCTCCTGTCTGCTCGCCTCTCATCGGACCATATTTGAGGTGCACTGAGAAACGCTGCATCTCCCACCTCGACGACCGCATCGTCTCGCTGTAGCTGGTTAATCAGACCAGTGTTTTGGCCCCCATTTATCTTTCTTTTTCCCCCTTACCTACTGATATAATATTTAAATCTTATCCTCTTATCGTCGCCAGCATGGTTATGGTCACTACCCAATTTCGCGATACCAAGCTACAATTGCCCCTCTCCCCGGCAAGCACGACAACATTAGGACCCCCTCACGATTTCCCTGTAGGCTCGCCGGTTGGCATGATGGACGCCTCGATGAGCTTAGGTAGCCACACCATGGAGAGTGTCGCCATTAAGCATGAGGACGGCATGGATGGCCAACCTGAGGGACGGAACGGCGTCTCTCCTAACTCGGATGAACCAGCTCGAAAAAGGAGACGGAGCCGTAAAGGGCTCGACAAGAGGTTTGAATGCACAACCCCAGGATGCGGGAAGAGCTACTCCCGTGCCGAACATCTGTAGGGCTTGATCCTTTCCTGTTAGAAATATCCCCAATGCCCGAGATACTGACAAGAGGGGCAGATATCGTCACCAGCTCAACCATAGCTCCAAGCAGATCTTTGAGTGTCAGTACCCAAACTGCGGGCGCACCTTCGTCCGCAGTGATTTGCTCAAGCGACACATGGATCGACACATGGCAAAGGGCTCCCAGCTCAGTCGGCGTGACTCGGTTATTAGCCATGTATCGCAGTCAGCACAAGCAACAGGGTCGACTTCTCCTGACACTAACCGAGTGACACCCGTACTGCCGAGGGCGGCGTCGGTAACTGATTACCTCCCATCTCATGAGGTATCCGACGGCTCTCCAACCACCACAACGCATCCGCCGTTTGCTTTTGAGTCACATCACAATGGCGTGTCCGGCCATGATATGGATTCCTATGGCGATCCTTCGGGTTATCAGAATATGCACCAACAACACGCCCCTCACTCGCCCATCGTAACGCCTCACGGCCCAGTCCCGGTGTACCCGATAACTTCGCCTGCGCCCCAATATGATCGGTATGATGAGCAATTGGACTCATCACAGTTCGTCCCCCAGCAAGCGGTGATACCCTTTACCCTCCCTCCGTCTCAGTTCGTCAATGTACCTCAGACCGAAGATGGCACATACTCAGCAAATCTTGACTACTCGGAACATCCGCCCACGGACGAGATGATGATGTTAGGAAACATGGCGCTGCAATCAATGCCGATGTTTGGGACGGATGGTGAAATTGCTAAATCACCCTACGCTGGCTTACCAGAAGATTTCCTTACCTTTCTTTTCAACAACTCTCCACCTGGCCGACAACCTGCGCTAAGCAAGGAAGAGGTACAAGCATATAACGAGTGAGTAGTATCATGTCGGCCTAGATATAGGTCTTGGTATAAACGTAGGACCAACCATTGCTAACCCTTGCATAGAAACTATGCAAAGATACTCAATTCCCAATTCACCGCGTTTAACAGGCCAGATCTGTCATCCCTAGGTTACTCCCCAGCCCCACAGCAACTTATGGCTGTGAATACATTGTTGGGGCAGGTCCCAGAGTCAACCATCTCAGATTCCAAATGCGAAGAGATTCAGAACCTTGTCCGAAGTACTTTCCGCTCGAAACCAGGCGACCCAGATGACCGTCGTTTCGATGACTTGTTTGATGGTGGAGTAATTACGGACGACCACATGCTAAGTAAGAGGATGATGCAGCTATACATTGCAACTTACTGGGCGCAGTTCAGCGACCAAATGCCAATCCTCCACCGGCCTACCTTTTCGCCTGATAACACAGAAAACCTTCTACTCCTTTCGATGATGATAATTGGCGCCGCGTTGCTGGATAGGAACCACGGAGCCAAAATTGTTCGCGCAGGAGCCAAACTCTCCAACTTCTTAGCATGGCACCTGCGGTGGGCGATTTTCATGGCTGGCGACTTCCATCCACCCGCGAACCTGTTCGTCTTTCAGGCAATGATTCTTCTTGAGCTGTATGAGAAAATGTATTCAACGAGAGAACTACACGAGCGGGCACATATTCACCACGCGACAATGATACAACTGATGCGCCGTGGCCGGTGTCTTATTGGGAAATCTGCATTGGACTCGCCGCCCAACCCGATCGACAGTGCGAACGGCTCACGCCAATCTTCAACGTGCGGGATAGCGCAGACGGCAGAGGAATGGTGGCACCAGTGGATTGTGAACGAGGCTACCAGAAGAACTGCCTTTGCCGCATTCATTATCGATTCAATTCATGCGACAATGTTTGGCCACTCAGGGGTCATGGTGGCTCATGAGATGAGACTGCCGCTTCCATGCGATGAATCGCTATGGCGGGCCACCAGCAGCGCCGAGGTTGGAAAGCTGGAATCAAGCCTCATGGCCAGGGGAATCAAGCCCGTGTCCTTCTTGGATGGCTTGAAGCGCACGCTGACTCACCAGACAGTTCAAACAGACTCCTTTGGGCGGACTGTTCTCATGTCGGGTCTGCTGAGCGTCACCTGGCATATGCATCAAAGGGATCTCCAAATCAATATGCTGGGTGGGGGGGTTTCGACCTCATTGGGTGGACGTGACAAGTGGCGGGCTACACTTACGAGGGCCTACGATGGGTGGAAGAACAATTATGATCAATCCCTAGAGGAAATAATCACGTCAATGGGCCCATATGAACCGGACGAAGCGACCCAACATGAGATCAATGTGGCCTTCGAAAACCGAACGGTAATGCACCGGCTGGCTCACATTGCCATGCACGCAGACATTGTGGACCTGCAGATGTATGCGCGAGCAAAGAGGCTATTGGGTCGCTCCATTGGTCCACATGAATTTAACAGTGCTTCGCGACGAATCAAGGACGCCTGGGCCCCGTCTGCGAGGGCACGCGATGCAATGTGGTATGCTTTGAAATTTCTGTGTTCAGTCTTGATTCCAGATGCTGTTGCGCCGACGCACATCAAGACGTATCGCACAACGAAACCCTACAAGGCCAAGGACGATGTCTTGCTCAATCGTCCGTGGGTTCTCTATTTTGCTGCTCTCGTTGTTTGGTGCTACGGGTACGCTCTCGAAGGTCCATGCCCGGATGCCCCTTATCCATCAGACGACAAGGAAATGATGCAGCAGATGCGGGAGTACCTCATCAAATACGGCAGCATCAAGGATCCAAATGAGCTTCGCGAAATCACAGGCCTCAATCAGAACACGGCCGTATTGTTAGTTCTCAAGGACACTTTTGCAGAAACGCGCTGGGAGCTTCTTCACGAGGGCTCTAAATTACTGAGCAACTGTATCACTCTCAACTCAGGAACTGGTTTATAATAGACGTTCCAGGATGAGCATTCCTTTTTGTTTTGATGTCTTGGCAGAGTCTGTGGGTTCTTGACGGAAGCGCTCTTACTTTTGATATTTTGGGTTTCTTATATAAGGGGAACGGGCCGAGGTGTTATGGAAACGTGAAATGAGGTGGGTATGTTGATGTTGTTGACATGATTTATGAATGAGGAAGAAACCCGGAGTTTTTGGGAGTCGAAATGAGTGGTGAAGAGCAAGGTGGGAGGGCGGCCTTGGTCATGAGATGACTTACTCGAACACAACAATCTTGGTCGCCTATTGTTGGGATATAGAAACCTTTCTTGGGCGGGCATCACTAAAGAGAAACTCAGAGGCATGATTTTTAAAGGCGAGGAAGCTGTCCGCATGCATTGACGATCTTGAGAGGTGGGGGGCATTTACTTCTTTGCATTTAGCGAGCGACCAGACGACAGGGTCGATATGATGGTTAAGAACTCAAATCCATTGGTTATCTTCCTTATATACTCATGATATACTATATTGCTAGCTAGGCGTAGACCACGCCAAGGGTATTTATATACAAATTTATGATATTCTAGATTCATCTTCTACTTGACTGGGAAGTTACTACTAATAGGTAGGTTGGATATGATAGAGTGTGTGAATCGATAGCAACGGAATAGCAAAATCATGACTAGACGATGCGAACAATCATTGTTCTTCCCAAACAGCGAGCCTCGCCTGTGAAGTGGCGTGTCTTCCCGCCTTCGTTACCGAGACTGAACCCTTTCTTACATTCTTCACTTCGGCAGAAGGACGGGTCGTTGAAGCAAAGGTCGTGTCTCGTAGCGCAATCGACAACAAGGATTCCGACGCGCTCGAATTTCATCTCCGGGGCTATTCCCATATTCAGGTCCGACTCGAATTCAACAACCCTACGCGAACTGGACAGGTCCAACCCGGCTTCGACAAGGATTAGGCAATAGTACCCCTGCAGGTTCGCGGAATATCCAGCTTTTAGGATCGGTAGGATGTAGACGTGCTGAAGTTGGGAGTATGCAAATCGGTACTTTTGACGGTGCGAATCTCGAATCACCTTGCAACCCGGACGCACCAACGCTACGGGGGCTATACTCGTAAGAGGACCTTTTATGGATACAGTGCCGGTGTAAGTCGAGTACGAAGTTGGCGCTAGTTCGGCAGTTATCCCTTCCAGATCCGCGCAGAGGGTCACGCTTTCGATACTGTGGGTGGCATATCTCTGGTACGGATGCCAGAGTCGGTACCCAATTGGAGATTCCACGGACGCCCAGCACCATGAGGGGACACGGAGCTCATGGGGATCGTTGTTCCATCTACTCAACAAGTCCGGGCTGTCCGGCTCCGTATCACAGAACCACACCAGCGACCGGAGCACATCGCCTTGCCACATCCCCAAGATACACGGTTCCTTGACCACAGTCTGGAAGCGCTGGACGACGCCTTTCAAGGCAACAAGCCTATCTCTATTGTAGGTGAAGGTCCGATGGCTGTACTTTTCAACGATTTGCCTCCAAAGGAGGTACATGTCGTTGTCCAGAGCGACCTCTCGGCTGACGCTTCCTGTGAGCAGCAGCGTCTTGAGCCGTCTCTCCTCCGAGTCTCGGAACTTGGGACTGAAGTCGCCCCTCAGCCCAAGAGGTCGGCAGTCGGCGGCGTTGAGGCTGCAGCAGTCCCAGAAGAAGCCATCTTTGGTCACCGAGAGGATTCTTTTGGATAGCAGCCTTTCCTGAAACGCCCACCCTCGCTTGTCGATCTCGCCCTCCGGCCTCGTTGGGAAGTTGCCGTTTACCTCCAGCCAGGAGTAGAGGGCCTCTGGGTTCCTCCGGTCAAACTCTGTCAGCTTTCCCTGTAGGAACGGTCTCGAGGCTGCTCGGACCGCTTCTTCCAGGCGGCAGCTTTCATGGTAGAGCGGGTACCCAGGCTCCGAATCCGGGTGGTCGGGTCCGTCCCCGTAGGCGAGCGTGAAGATGGAGTTTCCGTAGACAGAGGCTACTTTGGACCCTTCGGCGAGCCAGTCTTGATCAGCGCCTTGCAGAATGCACTATAAATGTCAACTTTGACCGTAGCGCTATAAGAAGAAAATGAGGTCTTACTAGTGCGTCGATCCAGACGTATTTGATACCGAGCATGGCAGCCACCTTGAACGTGTCCGCGTACAAAGGATGGAGGCGTGAAACTGGATAGCCACGGTAAAACGCATGTCGCGTGTCTTCGTTTAATTGCTGGTCTGGGGATAGGAACATCGGCCATCTATAGCTCACGGCAATGTACTGGAAGTCGGCGTGGTCATCGGTGTCTACGATCTTGATCTCTTCAACGGTGGCTGTTGAAAGCTCGCCCAGGTAGATGAGGCGGCGGGGGAGCTCGGGGACCCAGCCCTCTGGCTCGCTTTGGCATATGGGGTGGTGATTCCAGCATTCCCCTAGCCAGTATTTTATGATGAGAATGCAGGCTTCCAACTCGTGTCCTGCTTTGTAGAGGGATCTATAAGTACCATACAGCCTGCCAAAGTCGGCTTTGCAATTTCCATGCATGAGTCAGTGATCATCTTGAAGTGGTGACAGAATTCAGCTTGGAAATGAGCTGCTACCTTCTCGGCCCTCTTCGATTAAGAACTCCAGTAGGTTATCTTTTCGGAGTCCTTCTATGAGCTCCTGAGAAGTCGGCCCGGAAGTATCGAGGACCTGTACAGGGTATGACGGCTTATACGGGTGGCTTGAACTAGATGTGCTTCTTCTTTGGCTGCAGATTTTTCTCATTGAAGGCTCATCATTCTATGGAAATCTTGTGAGTATTTATTCAATAGGGGGAGTCATACGATGTGTATGACGAGGGGTACACCTACCGAGCCGGCCGTGAAGGCCCGAGCCCACCAGCCTCGGTCGGTGTCTAGAAGCTTCAATACCATCAGCGGATTGTGTTTGGTGGGTTTCTTTTGAATTTTCTCATCTTGGAGGAGAAGAGGAGGAATTGAAAAGAAGGTAATCTTTCGACTAAGTACCTGGACGTAATGACTGATTTCAATGGTGAGGCAGACTCGCATGCTTATCAGACCCACGCGATGACTCTTCTACACTGCATAAAGGAACGCCGGAAACCATGTTTGAACAGTGCAAGCTACATAATGTACGGGAAGGATCTGGGGTTCGTTCATGCTATGGAGCAGAGTCAGACTTACGATTAGAATTATAAGAAGGGGATTAAAAAAATTTGTACATTGACAGCACCTGGGCTTGAGAAGATAAAGTGTTGATGCCTGCATGTACCTACCTAGGCAAGTGGGTGACACAGGAAATAGTACACCCAAATGAAGACCCAATAAACACCCGAATAAATATCGATACATCTGAGCAAGTAGCTCGTTCTAAATAATTAAAGAGCATACATATTTGGACCCGGATACTCTGTTCCTATAATCTTATTTGAGCAATTACGTAGCCAGCTATGAAGATAGTAAATCAAGCATGTATTATTAAGGAAGTGCTTAGGTGTGCCATTTTTAATGTCACCCACTTGCTAGGTGAGGTAGGTACGTGTATTTATGGCTGAGGTGGAGTTTGGATCGACCCTATTCTAGTTGGCGAATAAACTACATCTACCCGTAAGCTCCGGCTCTGCCCAATCACCACCATGCACATCAGGCTTTAAGTCCGAGAGCTGAGCTGCCCCGCGTCCAGATACAGTACATCCAAGTCATCCAGTCTGAGAGAGCCCGTCAATCACGTAATTACTTGCCTTTATCTTAGCTCGACGTCCAGCTCTCTCTTCCATCCTCGTTCCTCGACAATCACCTTCTCCGTCGCGTGCGACCCGTGCTTCCTGAACTCTGGCCCTTCTCTATTCATCACGCTCTTCGTGCTGTATTAATAATGTCCTTCTGGCAGGACACACCTGAGTATCCGGTCGAGCTCCCGAATGAGATCCTACACAATATCCTCATCTGGCTTCATCCCGCTGATTTGCCAGAGGTGTCCCTGGTGTGTCGACGCTTCTACTTTCTCATCAAAGAAAACCAGAGACTCTGTGAAGATATTTATCGCTTGCGATTGGTACGGTAGACTGACTCCTAAGCTTGCGGCCAGCTCCTTGTGCTTCCGATACTGACATCGCCATAGGATGCACCACCAGAAAATGCTCCTATCTGGGACTGGGAGGCCGAGCTTCGCGATATAGTGAGACTGGATGAGATATTCCATACCTCTAGAGGGAATTATGTTGAGAAAGATGTAAGCAACATGCAGAAATTCCTCGTCCCCTTGAGCCAACAGCCGAATTCAACTGGATCTGACATGTCACAGGCGCACCGGCTTCCTTTTGTCTATAAAACCGTCAATAGGTTACTCAAGCACGCTTCATTGAATGGTAGAAGTCGCGACGAGGGAGAAGAGTCTCAGCGCCCCGTGTCGCGGAACGTGGAATATCTCAGTGGCCTGTTTGAGAAGAATGAGGTCGCAACTCGTGTCTTCACACAACAGTCCCCGCTGTTTGACCGCATAAATTCCAGATTCGAAGGCTCTGTTACCCCGTTTCCTGAGCCGTTGGAGAAGCACCAACAGAGTGCAAAGCTTCACTGCCTGTATGGGCGACCCGCTCAACAAGGCGGGAGAACGAGGTCCACGACCACATACCCCTGGGCCTGCTCCAAGGTGTATGACATACGCGAATACAGTCATCTTAATGGATGGGGACCATTCAGGAAGGACGGAAGCGGCCGCGTGGATTGGGAGAAGGTAGAGGCCATCAATATTCTGATGTGGAAGAACATTTCCACCATGTGCCCGAGGACCGATATCTTCGACGAGATATGGGACACTCCATTTTTCGGATCGTTTGCGAACAGCTACGTGCCGACAAATCTTCCTACGCTCTCTGATCTAGATGCCCAAGATCCATATGGAGTAACTGGGACTTACTATCGGGTAAGTAGGCACGCAACACATGTTGGAGGATCATGCTCGGACCCGCGGCTCCTTTACTTTTACTTTGTCGCTCATGATACTTACTCATCCTTCTATCTGTCGATAGGTCGTATGTTTCCTCGACCACAGTGACTTTATTCGCTTCAACTTCTCAAACATGGGCATTGTCACAGACAACATCCCTCGCCCTCCATTGGACAGAGGCGAGGCGACCCGGCTCATCCTCATGGACCTCGAGGTAACTCGCATCGGGGCTCCCGGTCCAGGCGATGGCCTGGATCTTCCAGTGGTGCATTTTAAAGGCGTCTCGCGATCATTTGATTCCGATTTTGTCGAGGACGTCCACTCAACTCTCACTGGTGAGTAGTTACACCAGCGAAAAAAAAAACATGTTTGATGAGGAAGCTGAACTAAAACTGAATTTCAATTCGTCTCTGAAGGTTCCGTGCGCTTAACTCAGGAAGGCGAGGTAAAATGGTCTTCCGTCTCCGCGTTCGACGGCCAAGAACGATGGAGGAGCGAGGGTGTCCAGGTTGGAGGTGTTAAGTCCGCGAGGGGAGTTGTCGGGACTTGGTTCGATAGGTACGGTCACCAGGCAGTGTTTTCTCCAGCTCGTCGATACTCACCCAGCTTTTTTCCTTCTTCCTGACGCTGACGCAACGTATAGTGACTACGACATACACGGGCCAGTAGGGCCAACGGTATTCTGGAAGGCTGCCGATTGCAAGAACCCCAGGGAGGCGCTGCTGAAGGGCGCGAGCGAAATGATCATGCAGCCCGAGTGGCTGGAGGGCGTTGTCGTCACGTTTGAAGGCGAATCCGAGGACGACGATGATGATGATGACAACGACGAAGACTGGGATGCCGACTTGGACCCGATCGAGGACGAGCTTCCGGGACTGCTGGAGGATGCCGAGATGGACTTGGACGACGTCACGACGAGAGCCATGGGTAACACTTGAAGTCTCCATTTCCATAAGTGTGGTCTTGATATACTTGTTTTGTAATGATTTGGGGGCGTGTTGTTTTGAGACGAACCTCTTCCTTTCTATTCCTTAGACAGTTCTTGGGATTTCCAAACCCCAAAAAAAATACAACATTATTAACGGAAAACAAGGCAGGTAGAAACCATCTATATTCTAAATCTTGGACCCAAAATCCACATTCACCTTCCCGTGCTCACAAACAGCCAGAAGAGCGCCATCGCTCCTCCTCCTCATGGTCCCCCGAAGAGTGGTCATCTTCTTACCGATCTGGACGATCTCGTTGTGGACCAGGACCTCGGTGCCCGAGGGCACGGGCCGCAGGTAGGTGACGTTGAGGGTCCTCGAGACGCCCAGGTAGTTCCAGAAGTCGGGGCGGCTGACGAGCACGATGGCCATGGAGGTGCTGAAGTCGAACAGGGTCGAGGCGCAGCCGCCGTGGAGGTTCTTCAGCTGGTTGCAGTGCTCCGGCTGGACGGTGTATGAGAGGGTGATGGAAGGGTGGGGGAGCTCCAGGGTGAGGTCAACGAGGGACATGTGTGGGAGCAGGGACGAGGTCCAGTCCTAGTTACATGATGTTAGCTTGGAGTCCTGGGTTCGATATATATACGATTAGGTGAAATCAGATGAGTGGCTTGGTACAGCATGAGGTGGGGGATAAGACGTGAACAGTGATGAAAGACATGCAAAACCTACCTTTCCTTTGAAATCATCAACTGCGTTGTTGTTAAGCCATTCCTGGATCTTCTTTTCTATGAGTTCCTTTGGAAGGTCTGATGCTAGCTTGGGCTTCGCAGCTTCTGGCGGAGAGTCTTCCTTGGCCATGTTGAACACCCAGGCGACTGACGAGGGTTTACTCTTCAAATAAGAATGCCCAACCTGAAATAAACAGCAATGGTATTGAAGGCGGTCTCAGTCACCGACTGAATGCAGGAGCCAGGGTATTGGCAATCCGTTAAGAAAACACAATAGAAACAGTTAGCTGCCCTTGTCGTACGGGGATCTGGTTTGAGGCTGCGCTTCAGGTTCCAGTCGTATGGATGTATGAATTAGGCAATGCAGAATGGAAGATACAGTGCATTGCCCATCGTTTCGTCTCCTACCACCAAGTGCCGAGGCATTCCCTTCCATCAGGTGGAGTCAAGTGGAAGAAGTACGTGCCAGGTACTTACCAGCCAACTGGATTGAGCCCCACAGCCTCATGCAAGGTCCATTGCTGTGGATGTACCACTCGAGTACATCGTCAACATTCCTCCCTGCTGACCAATTTCGGGCAGGGGTGAGCCAGATAAGCTCTGAATGCCTGTAGGACACAGCTTGACAGCGCGTGGTAATTGTATTGTATTTGACATATATTCTCAGAGACCAAGGGTCTATCAGCTAAGTTCAAAGTATTATAAGCCACACAGTTGAGGCGCCTCCTATCCCATGCAGCCACAGCAAGATGGAGTAATGAGTTCCAGTCAATCGAGCTGTCAGAAGCCGAACCCCGTAATTTAGTGTTCCCCAGCAGCAACATCTAGCACAGGTACAAGGAGCGTAAACTGATACATGGACCTACATGTTTCGATGTAAACAAATTCATCAAAGATGATGCCACTCTTCAGATCGAACAAGATAACAATAAGACAGAATATCCCCTGATTGAGATTCATCGCCTTTCAAACCATTTCACGTTGCCTGACTTTGCTTTTGAGCAATGACATCTGAGCCGCGCACGAGCCACAGAGCCGATATTTGTCCCGAGGTACGGAGACACTAAGCCAGACATCCACACGGTGACCTCTACCCCAGCTTTGCCGTCTTCCACAGCCATCACTTCGCATCCGCTCATCAATCAACCTCGAAATTGCTGCCAAGGGGCTGTCTGTATCGGCACAGTCACTCAGTCGCCTCGATGCTCGCTTCATAGCACAACCATCCCTCCCTTCCAGTGCCAGAGTCAACGCGATTTTGCGCCCGTGATCTCGACCTCAGACCGGCCAAACCGTCGCGATGGAGTTCGTGACAGCCCTCCGGGCCCCCTTCGACGACCAGAAGCCCTCGCTGTTCGAGATCCTGTCCGAGCAGCAACTCAACAGCCTTCTCCCTCCGACCCTACGATATCTCCTCACCGTCGCGACCCAGCGCTACCCCCGTTATCTCCTGCGCATTCTCAACTCCTACGATGAGCTCTACGCCCTTGTCATGCTCCTTGTCGAGCGACACTACCTACGTACGCGCGGTGGCTCCTTCACAGAGAACTTCTACGGCTTGAAACGCGACAAGGCTCTCCGCGGCGAGATTCCCCGCGCCGCAGCCACCGCACCTCACCTCGTTCGCGACACCCTCCGCCTAACCACCAAGGACGTATGGAAGAATCTGATGGTCCTTGTCGGCGTTCCCTATCTGAAGAGGAAGCTCGATGAGTCCTACGATATCAATGCGCCCAGAGCCCTGCTCGGAGCCGCCTACACGCGCATGCCGGACAACCCCACGCTCAAAGATCGGTTCCTCTTCTACTACAGATGGTTCCTCCGCAACATATACCCCTCCGTCAATGCCGGTTATTACTTCGCGATGCTCGCCTTCAACCTGGCCTATCTATTCGACACCACCAAATTCCACAGCCCGCTCATGTGGCTCATCGGTACTCGCATTAGAAGGATGACCGCCGCAGACTATGAAGCCATTGAGGCGCTCTCGGCTCCCCCTCCTGCCAGCAGGAAGTCAAGCGCCCCCGCATGGAGGTCGCTGTTCTCGCCCATGGAGATGGGGCCCAAGCTCATGTCCAGCCTGTCGGTCATGCTTCCAATGAGCATATTCGCCCTCAAGTTTCTCGAGTGGTGGTATCAGTCCGACTTCGGCAAGCAGCTGTCGCGCAAGGCGGCCGAGAATATCCAACTGCCGCCTCCCGTCCTCTCCAGCCTGGTAGGTAAGGGAGGTAGCGCTTTAAAGAAGAAGAAGAAGGACGCACAGCCTGCTCCGGCTGAGGCTGGTGGAGAGGAGAAGCGCCACGAGCCGTCGCCCGAGACCGCACCTATCGCTACCCCCTCATTGCTCCCAATCTATACAGTCTCCCCGCCAGAGGACTCCTCGTTATGTCCCATCTGCCAGGGCGACATCGTGACTCCAACGGCGTGCCAGACGGGCGTTGTGTACTGTTACACGTGTATTCATAGATGGATCGAAGGGATCCATCCCATCCAGGAAGAGTTCATGGAAGACAAGGCTGGAAAATGGGAGAGTGGCCAGGGGAGATGTGCTGTTTCCGGCCGGCGGGTACTAGGGGGGACAGAAGGGTTAAGAAGAATCATGGTCTAGAACTGACTACTCACAACCAGTAAAGGAGAAACTGCATATATGGATATTGCATTCGAGGCGCAGCGTTGATTATGGGAATCCCTCTAATTCGAGGGTAGGCGGGGGCGTCAGGGGTAACTAATACAAAACTCATTTCTATATCTAACTAAACCTACAACTCTACCGTCCACTGGTATGCTGCACTTCTGATGAGAGAACCCCTTTGCACATCTCCCGGAGGGCTGGGCAGTCGACTGGCATGTTGAAGCTCTTCGTTGGAATGGGTTGTTAAGGAAGTTGTCTCAGATAGAAGGCCATTGGGGCTTGAGTGGTTCAAGATCAGCGACGGTTGTGGCTAATGTCTCAGCTTTTACCCCAAGATAATCAGGGGTCAGGGCCCATGAGTGGCTCGAGGAATCAAATATCTACCTATAGATCAATGAATCTTCCGGATCGGGGCGAAATGTCGCAGACTCGCGTGGCCGGGGGAACAAACGGGAGACTTCAGGACTCTACCAACTGGACATCCTTACCCCAGTTTCGCCCCTCCACACCCATCGGTATGCAATCCATGGTTCGACCTCTTCAATTGCTTCTCATTCTCTGCCACAGCTATGTGTGGGATCAATAATGGCCATCCTTCCAGCCTCAACCTCATTCCTGAGGTTCCCGACCTCTCGGGGCCCTCCAGAGACATGGGGAAAGGCAGGGCGTTGATCGATGATAAATAGGAGAGGATGGTCGATGGCAATGACAACTTTTCTCTCGTCTCCCAAGCAACAACTCCAGACACTTCCAACAGTCTACTCCACATCCATCTCATCACAGACATGGCTTACTCCCTATCCACCTCATTCTTCGGCGAGTCCCTCTTGTCCGGTTTCAACTGGTTCAACGGAGCCGATCTCTCCAACGGCTATGTCTCGTACGTATCTCGTCTTGGGCAGCTTGAGATGAGTTTGCCTATCGGGAAGCTGAGCTAACTTTCCTCTTCAGATATCAGAGCCGCTACGATGCAGAGGCACGAGGCCTTGTCTCAATGGACCCAAGCACCCATGCTGTCCGCCTGGGTGTCGACAGCACCAACTACTACGGAATGGGAGAGGGCCGCCCCAGCATTCGCATTGAGAGCAAAGAATCGTACAACCACGGTCTCTTCATCGCCGACTTTGCACACATGCCCCCCTCAGATTGCGGCCTCTGGCCAGCTTGTAAGTACCCAGCATTGTCTTTGCCCCCCTTGGATGTCCAAAACTGATCGCTTTTTATTTGATACAGTCTGGGCTTATGGCAAAAACTGGCCCAATGGCGGAGAAATCGACATCATTGAAGGTGTGAACACAGCTCACAAGAACTTGATTTCTGCCCACACAGCCGAAGGTTGCTCCCAGGATCCATGGGAGGTCAGCCAGTCGACTGGCCTACAGCGCAACACCGACTGTTTCGTTGGTGATCAGAACATTGGCTGTGGATTCGAGGCCCCTTCCTCCGATGTTTCCTCATACGGTGACTCATTCAACGCCGTCAATGGTGGAGTGTATGCTATGGACTGGGACTCAGAGCGTATCCGTGTCTGGCACTTTCCTCGTGGTCGAATTCCTTCTGATATCAAGGCCAAGAGGCCCGACCCGTCCAACTGGGGCTTGCCCCAGGCTGCCTTTGGTGGTAGAAGCTGCGATGTCGACAGCTACTTCAAGGATATGAGCATTGTTCTGAACATTGTGAGTCATGACTTCGGTCAAAACTCAAGATTATCAATCATACTGACTAGCCAAACAGAACTTCTGCGGTGACTACGGAAACGCCCTTTGGAACAGCGGCGAGTGCGGCAGCTATGCATCAACCTGCTCTGAATACGTCGGCAGCAACCCTGGAGCATTCACCAACGCCTACTGGGAAGTCAACTACATCGACGTTTACCAGAAGAACCGTGGTTCTCCAACTACAACAACCACGAAAACAGCCCCAGCACCTACTACCAAGCCTGGAGGTTACCCATACCTTCCTTTCCCTGACCCCGGAATCGGCATCGAGCCCACCGCCATCCCTAACCCCTTCAACATCAACCGGTACGCTTACCTCGGCTGCTTTGAGTCTACCTCCAGCTTCGGAACCTTCGAGGTCGAGTCCGAGAAGGAGGACATGACACTGGAGACTTGCGTCGAGCTCTGCAACGCCAAGGATGCTGCTTATGCAGGTGTCAATGGCCGGGTCTGCTCCTGCGCCCGCGAACTCGATCAGGATACCCGTGCCACTGCCCTCGAGCGACACTGCGCCAGACCTTGCCCTGGAAACGCAGGCCAGTTCTGTGGCGGCACCAGCTCCAAGTCCATCCCCAGCCCTAGTCTCAGTCCTAGCCCCAAGCCCAGCCCCAGCTCCAAGCCCGGCTCCAACTCCAAGAAGGCCCCCAGTGACGGTGACAAGACCGACTGCCTTCTCACCGTCTACGGCGCCGTCCTCGACACCCAGCCTGCTGTGCCGCCTCCCATGGCACCCATGCCCAAGAGCCTGATGAAGGGTTCCTACATCATCCATACCCCCGCGACCTGCACAACGACCAAGGCTCCCGCGGTTCCTCGCCCAGCCAAGACTCCCAACTCGGCCATGACTCCCTCCTCGTTCACCACGCCGACTCCCTCGCCGACCCCCTCTGGGTCTCCATCTGTGTTCACTCCTCAACACAAGAAAGCGCCCACTACCCTCCAACTGTCCCAAGTCTCTGAGACTGCGGCTCCTACCGCATCAAGCAGCAGCAAGGCTAGTGACATTCCCGTCTCTGCTGCTGCGCCCAAGGCTCCCTCCAGGATGAGCGTTGTGATCGGCGTCGCCGTCATGATCTTTGCCATGCTGTAAAGCATTCAGGAGAAATTGAAACTCAAGACGGGATACGTCTTCTTAACGATGGATGAAATATAATTTGTGGAATCATGTTGCGCGGTATACCCAAGAGGACAGGCGTTTTTCTGATATCTCTGTTTTTTCTCTCTTCCTTTAGATTGTTGTTTGATTTTTTTTGTTTTGTTCGGTTTTCCTATCTCCTTTTATAATGAGTCTTAATAGAATGTAGAACTCCAATAATTTAGCAGCTGCAATCAATTGATATAGAATCTTACAAATGCATCCTAATTCTATTGTGACGTCTCCTGGCATAGGAAGTATAAGGTATCCTGCTTTGAGCTGCGGAATCAAACAAAAACTTACCCCTTTTTTGTTCTCTAACCAATGCACCAATTTTCGTTTGTGATATTTACAAGTCTACAATAACCGCTCGGCTCGTAGTCTTACCAGTATTCCCAATCATCTGGGCCGCGTTGACCATCAGCCCGGCCTCCTGGGGTCTCGGCGCCCGCACGAGAAACTCCCAGATAAGCTTGTTTATCCCCACGAGAAGGAAGTGGCCGTAGAGGTACCAGTTCTCGTTGGGGAAGAAGTCGAGGATCGGGCCCCTGGGGGGAAGCGAGAGGATGCGCTCGTAGGCGATCTGGAAGTCGTCGTAGTGGACGGGCTCGGTGCCGGCGCCCCAGTGGACGTGGCCGAAGACGTGGAGGCGGGGCTTGATGCGCCAGACCTCGCGGAGGAGGTGGGGGCAGCCGAGGTCGAGATCACGATGGTGCGCCTGTTCGGGATGTGGGATTCTTGTTCAACAGAATGCTCTCTTGTTTCGCGTGGGGGAGGGCCACTTACAGGTGGGCAATGGGTGATGAGGATGTCGGTGTTGGGGGGGACTTTGCTCATCCATTTCGACTCGTCTGGAAGGTATTGGAATCTATCAAGGGCCCAATTAGCTAGATTTTCTCCCCGTCGAGCGTCAATTCCAACTCACGCAAAGCTCGAAGGGCCGCATTCCGGGATATCGGGAGCTCCAAAGATATTCAACTTCCGGCCCTTGATCTCCACGACGGTCGAGCTGTTTTCGAGGTATGTGATGCCGTCGAGGTCGAGCTTGGAGCCTTGGTCGATGTCCTCCTGCTTCCTACTCCGCGGGTCGAAATAGGAGTCATGGTTGCCGGCGATGACGATCTTCACAGGGTGCGGTTGCTTCTTGAGCCAGTCGAGCTGGAGCTGTATGTCATGCACGGTCCCGGCATCGGTCAGGTCGCCAGCGTGGATGAGGATGTCGCCAGGGGGGATTGACACGGTCTGGTCGTGGGTGTCGGAGATGGAAACGACGCGGATGGGTTCTTTGCCTCGGGGGGGACTGACGGGCTGGCCGAGGAGGAAGATGACGAGGTAGTAGAGCTTGATGGCGATGAATGTGAGTGGGGAGCTCAGAAGATGGTCAAGCAGCGTCGGCGGGTCCCATTTGACGCTGCGCCTGAGGCCAAGGGTGGTGAGCAGGCCCATTGTAGGTTGCGATTCGGAGACGAGGCTGTCGGCAGTGTTATTAGGTGTACCAACACACACCCACCAGCATAATGTGGCGTTCGGTGAGATTAAATTGAACCAATGCAACAGGTTGGCTTGATGCTTACCGGCAAGCAGCAGCTCATGGCCGCATTGGAGCTGCTGGTTGGTCCCCCACATCTTGCTACGGCAATGACGTGTAGCATCGCCGTTTGAGCTTAGTGCTTGTGGTAGCTGATAACGATAGCAATGAACTGTTGGTGACATTGAATTTGGTACACTTGGATCTCTCCTGCTGGTTCTTGAGTCTGTGACTGGTATCGTCACATTATTGAAAGCCAGTAATAGATATTCGAGAGATATTTTAATGATATATCATCAATTTAGGTCCTTTTAAAATATTACACTGCCATGTAATCTACCTAGTAAATGTAGAAAAAGCTCTCCTATTCAATTTAATGTCTCACTTATTCTGTCACCCAGTCCACCAGCAAGCAGCACCCAAGCAGTTTATACTTTGGAGCAGCAGCTAAACCCCCTCCTGAATGGCCATTGCCAGCAGTGACGTCGTGCCAGATGCCAACCATTCTACCAGAGCTGATTCCCTGATCTTCCGTCGATCCCCGCGACGGACCCTGTAACACATCATCACACGTCCTTCTCCTAATGAAATCAAGACTCAAGGTAAATGGGGCAGGAGAATATAAATAGCTTCTAGACCCTGCACCCACTTGAATCATTTTTTATTTTCCCATTTGCCTTTGAGCAATATTCCCGTGGCATCTCGTCTCCGTCCCCACGTGACGCTCTCACCAAGGACATCAGAGGTGGAATTGGCGTTATTCCTATAGCTTCACCAAGCCAGAAGCTGTAGCACCTGTCAGTTGCATCCCACACGACGTCGAGATTTGCCAGTCCTCGCCCACTCCGTTTCCCGCCTTCGAATTGGCTTTACTGGCTCTTAACTTTTTCATGGTTGATTTGACGACATTGTGAGATCTACATCATGACGAGCCTTGAGAAATTGGTCGGTAGCACTGGTGATGGTGACAATCGTAATTTTGGGTACGTAATTGAGCAAAGCACATTCTTCTGATGCATCCTTGATCGACCACATTTGAGCAGGCAAACTGATTTGCGTCCTCGGCGACGGTCTCATAGTGTCGATTTTGTCGTCCACCAGCTGATCCCGACCCAAGGTTTGTGTTTCTCCAATGAGCTGCCCGGACATCAAAACTGGTTCAGTACCTAACTTTACACAGAACGCACCGAGGCCGAGGCCGCTTTTATCCAATTAATCGAGACTCTCACAAAGGTCGGCTTAGCTACCGAGGTCCGCGCAGGGAGCGACAACTCCCTCCTGATCTTCACCAAGATCGCATCATGGGACTTTCTTGCTCAGCAGGTGTACCGCTCCCGCCTTCAGGACTGGCTGAATGGCCTGCGCTCCTCTGCACCGGAGAGGGAGATTCGACGTGCGCTCGAAGACGAGCCCGTCACCGAGGCTGAGCGCTCTCGCATTGTCTACCTCCTCATCACCAAGCCCCAGAATGACGGCGGCGCGGGCATCACGCCCGGGAATGGCCAGTGGAGGTACATTCAGTCCATACTCCCTCTGCACGACCACAACTTCAACAAGGCCTGGATCAAGAAATGGGGCCAGAAATACCTCTTGAATCAGGCCGATCTGGATGAGATTCGTGACAAATTCGGCGAGGGTGTCGCCTTTTACTTCGCCTTTGTCCAGTCCTACTTTCGATTCCTCCTCTTCCCCAGTGCCTTTGGTCTCTTCGCATGGCTCTTCCTTGGAAAGTTCTCCTACTTTTACGCCCTCGTCAACTGCCTCTGGTCAGTCGTGTTTTTCGAGTTCTGGAAGCAGAAGGAGGTTGATATGGCTGTCCAATGGGGTGTCCGGGGTGCCTCCCGGGTTCAACTTCCTCGCCCCGAGTTTGAGTGGGAGTATGAGGCCGAAGATCCTGTGACTGGCGAACCAATCAAGGTATACAGTCCGATGAAACGAATTAAAACGCAATTGCTCCAAATCCCCTTCGCTCTGGCCTGTATCGTGGTCCTCGGCGGCGTTGTTGTTACATGCAATTCGTTGGAAGTCTACATCAATGAGATGTACGATGGGGGTGGCAAAGCGGTTCTCGTAAGTATTGTCCAAAACATCTCCATTGGATTTAATTCCTTAAAAAATCAACTCGAAACTGAAATCGATTCATGACTAATTTCCGTGCAGGGCCTCATTCCAACTATTCTTCTTAGCTCTCTAATCCCGGCTTTCTCTGCCGTGTTGATGAAGGGAGCCGAAGTTCTAACTCGGTGGGAGAACTACCAAAACGTAGATGGTGAGTGTAATTCCTGTTCTAAGCAGATGATGGCAGCATCTAACTTGGACCCAAATCTGAAGCCTACAATGCCGCTCTCATCCAGAAACAATTCGTCCTCAACTTCATGACCTCTTACATGGCCCTTCTGTTCACCTTGTTCGTCTACATTCCGTTTGGGGAGATCTTGATCCCATTCTTGAATTTCTGGCACAGCACGGCCCAGGTAGTGAGCTTCAACGAGAACCCTCTACCGGCCAAGGAGTTCAAGATCAACCCAGCCAGGATTAGTGGACAAATGTTCTACCTGACCATCACCGCTCAGATTGTGAGCCTTCTTACACAAGTCGTAGTTCCTTACGTGAAGCGCCAAGTCTTCGCCGAAGCGAAAAAGCTCAGTTCCAAGGATACCACGCCCGCAGTCCAAGACCGTCCTGAGGAACACGAATTTCTCAAGAGGGTCCGCAAGGAGTGCGAGCTGGAAGTTTACGATGTCAGCACTGACTATCGCCAAATGGTGATTCAATTTGGTAAGTTCAACTACTCTTCCTTCCAAATCAACGATATGATCCGGTGTTTTTGTTAACCACCTATAGGCCATCTTTCCATGTTCTCTTCCGCATGGCCTCTTGCGGCATGCTGCTTCCTCGTGAACAACTGGGTTGAACTACGATCAGACGCCGTCAAAATCGCTATTGGAAGCCAACGTCCCATCCCATTCCGGGCCGACACAATAGGCCCGTGGTTAACTGCCCTCGGATTTCTCTCGTGGCTTGGCAGCGTATCTAGCGCAGCCATTGTGTTCCTCTGCGGGGGCTCGACAGATCATGAACGTGGCACAATGTCGCACATTAGCGCTTGGGGCGTTCTTAGCAGTGTCTTTCTGGCAGAGCACTTCTACTTCTTGGTCCAGATGGCAGTGCGATATTTCATGAGCAAGTTCGAGAACTATGGACAACAGAAAGAACGAAAGGAGCGATTCTTGATCAAGAAGAGATTCCTTGAAGAAACCCTCGGCCAGGGAGTTGCCGAGCAAGCTGCCACCCCAGGGCTCACCCACGGGGAGAAGATCACTCGGGAAGCATTGGAGGAGCAGGAACGCGAGGCTTCAATCAAGGGCCATGCTTCTCCTGAAGATCTGTAAGTGAACCATCTATGAGTCGTGCACAACGCAAGTCTAACAGTCCAACTACAGGTTCTGGCAGCGACAGCGAGGAGTCCAGGAAACCATCACAGTCGGACGAAGCATGATTGAGGTGAGCCAGCCGCAATGGAACTAGCCCCCGAGAAACGGGCTACCTCTTCAAGAGCTGTCACTAACGAAAAGAATTTCCAGAAGGCTGTCACCGAGAAAGGAGCGGGTAAACCTGCTCAACCCAGTCCTAGAGCGTAGATAGTACGGCATGGTCAGCCGTTATTGAAACCGGTCCCTGGCTGTCCGGCTCGTTTTACTATCTCATCCTGCGTCGTTCCAGACCTCTCTCTATCTCAATCCCTCATGTCTCGCAGTGAGACGATATTTTTACCTTACCTTGATTATTATTATTTTTCTTCATCTTTATTTGTTCTTCCACCAGCGTTTTCTTGACTTGACAGTGGGTGGATATTGCCTAACGGCACAGGAAAGAAAAGGAGGGTTATGGAGGGCGTTGGATCCCTATTGGTGCATCAGCGAGCACGTGGGTTATGACGTTCAAGATATAGGTCTTGGCAAGGGTCGTGCTTGAGTGGTCGGAGCTCATACCATTGATGGCACCGCGCGTGGGCCTCGCTGGACAGACGCGAGCTAGAACACTTTAGCCAACGGTTAATGGCTACCCGTCAAAGTCTAGCAAGGAGATCAGATGGCTCTGGGCCATTCGCCGACTGCTGATCCGATCGGCTAGGTGCGGGATGCAGATAGGGGCTCAATTCATCAAACAGGAGCAATTCACACGTGAAACCATCGTCCACATCGCGCGGCAGGAGTCCAGCCACCTTTCTGCATGCGAGATAGTGAATGCGAGTGCTCGTGTGTCGTGCCAGCATCGGGATACTGTGGTCCATATATGGTTACGGTCGGGCGCAATACCCACTGCACGAATGTGGGAGCAGATACTTGCCGAATGTGTATGTACATCTCGTTCAGCCTGCAGGCTTACAGAGTGAGGGTTTGCGTGTACATGTGCGTGATGTACTGCGGCTAGATTGGAAATTACCTACCTCCCAAGCCAGTCGCCCGAACTGCCTTGTCCCCAAGTAGTGGCAGAGTCCCACAGGAGAAGCCAATGGCGCATGCTCTTGGACTCAACGTGGTAAAGTGCCCAGACAAGCCCCTCCACGGGCTTCTCCAAGGCGTCCCAGGCGGCAGCTTCTGTTGGCTGTCTCCTGGGCTGAGGCTGCTCTCCCCGTTGCACCCACACAGCCCGGCTGGGCCAACCAACCCCTGCGCCCGTCCACCGACCCCTTGGGGTCTTGGCTTGGATAGGCAGCTTGCAGATGGGAGCCCGGTGATCTGTTGCAACAGCTCGTCTCACGCTACGGCACCGAGCCAAGGAAATGTGCCCACAGCCTAGCCGCAGCCCGATTTGCGTGCGATTGAGGTGCTTGGCCCACCCACCCAGCACCAGCCGCCTTCGATGCAAGCTGTTGCTTTGCTACGGCTGAAGTTCCTAGTATCCTCTCTCCTTTCATCTTCTTTTTTCACCCGCCATGACGACTGCTCTACCTGCATCTGGGTAAGACTGCAATCCACGACGCTATTCCGCCTCAATTCCGTCGCTGGGAGATCGTCTTCTCTGTCCGGGCGCCTGGCCAAAGCACTAACCCACCTGCCGATTTCGCGGAGTGCGACCGCTAGGCTCAGAGCAGAACCCCGCCAAACGACGCCGCCCGGCAGCCACCAAGCCCAGATCTATTTGACAGCCTCCGTTGCCTTGCGAGGCGCGTGCGTGTTTTCTCTGTCGCTTCTTCTCTTCTGATCTTGTGTGTTTTTGGATAGAGATCAATCCTTCTTGGTTTCCTTTTTCTATCTACTCAACCGTCTGTCCGCAGCCATGGACGAGGTTGAGGATCTGGTGCTTACACCCTTCCGGGACATTGTGGAAAAGGCCAAGCAGGCCGCCCTCAATGCCGGCGACGACAATCCCGAAATGCTCAAGGCCGCCAACACCCTGTCCAGGGAGGGAGACCGCGGGCTGCGACGCATTGAACCCCTATGTCACAAGCAGCTGGTCGACTACGGTCCCAACTTTGTTGCTGCGTTGAAGGATAATGGTTTGTTGGCCCTGCCGGCTCCCTACCCTATACTCCCCATCCTTAGGTAGACCGGGATCACTAACACGGGTCGCAACGCCGGTAGATCAAATCGCCAACTTCCGAAGTGAACTTACAGACTTACTATGGGAATTCGAAGACTATATCGAAGTAGATGACTTTGACGCCTCGAAATTCACCGAACTGCAGGCCTTGTCTCGCAAAGCTGCGCCCAAGATCTACGACATTCTAATGAGATTGAAGCTTGAGGTGCCGTTTCGTGATGATATGTCGTCGAGGGGATCGTTTGCGCAAATATCTACGCCGACGAGCCCTCCTATCGCCCCTATATCCGTCTCAATTCCCGTGCCCGTGCCGCGACGAACACCGTCGGAGACGTTCCAGGAGAATCGTGGGGTCGAGGATGCCACTGCCCAGCTAAAGGGGCTAATGCGAGGTTCTGGGAGTGTCGAGGGTAGTGTAAGCGATCCAGGTTATGACTCTGGCGATTACCCTCCCAAACCACCGCTGACGAATCCCTGGGATTGGACAATGAAGCCTGGCGAAACCGAACCGCGGTCCCCAGAGGATGTTGCGAGGGAGCGGATGATACTGGCCGACGAGTCTCCTGTGCTGCCGTCTGCGTCGGATGCTACCCTCTCTGTTGTGCAACCACTCAACCTCAGCAATATCCCGGTACCGGGCTCTTTTCCAACCGATCCACGTCTGAGCGATCCACGTCTCAGCGACCAGCGCCTAAATGGTCAACGTCTGAGCACGGGCAGCAGTACAGGCAGCGTCTCCAGCGGCCACAGCTACAGTCCGTTCCCTCATCCTCGCTCGAAAGGTTCCGCCCTGATGTCATATTCGATTCCCGAGAATTCAACTCTGGACACGGCGCCTACCTCTCCTTCGGATCTTCATTCCCCGCGGTCACCACGATCCCCTCAGTCACCACCGCAGACTCGAAAGCTCTCTGCCGCGCTCTCAGTCACATCGGAGCCTTCTATGCCTAGTGAAAACCCACCTCGATCAGACTCCCTATCTCACCCAGCAATGGCCTCAAATCCTCATATCCTCAACAGACAGTCCGCGCCAGCGGCTCCAGGCCATCCCCATCGTTACGCTTCGCCGCCGCCAGCAGCACCTCTGCCGCCACCGCCTCAGCGAGTAGCATCACCACCTCAACGACTAGCATCACCGCCAACTTCGCCGGCAGCCTCGCCAATATCGCCAACCCAAATATTGGCAGCCCAGGCAACATCACTCCCACAAACCGTGAATCCAAGTGAACGGGGCGGCCCTGGACCCATCCCGCGCTCCACCGAAGAACTGGCAGAAATGGACTTCGCCCCTATCCCCGTTGATTCTGAGCAGGAGAAGAACGAGTCCAATGTTGGGTTCGCTTCCAAGATCAACGCTCAGGAATGTATCATCGACAACACAAGTTCATTTTGGATCGCCAAGGGATTCTGTGATGGGGCACAGGAAGTTATCCGGGGTGGTATTGGTGTCAAGCGGACCAAAAAACCAGTTGTAAGTATCTCAATGTTCTGGGCGACCTCTATTTGCTTGAAAAGCTAACAACAAGTAGGGTTATGCTAGCCATGCCACCATTGCGAGATGTTCGAGCTGCTTATACGAGCTTGATTTCACTCAAATCGAGGCTGATGTGAACAAAGAAGGTATGAGATAGTCTACGACCCCTTGCTTGATTGGTTTGCTGACTTGGATTTGCAGAGAGGGGCAACTTCTCAAGAAACGGCATCAACTTTAGGGTCAGATTCCTGCAAAAATCTCATCTTGCGACCAAGAGAATCGATGATGTTCAATATGGTTGCGTTTTCTGTATTCGGGCTGGCCACACGCTGGATAAGAGCGATGCGACGGTTTTCTTTAACCAGAAAGCCCTGTTCGATCACCTTGCCCGGCACCCCCGCCCATTACCGGACGTCCAAGGTGTGGTCACTATTGAAGGGCCCGAGATGCCCGCCCAGTATGTCAACGACTACGATATCCACTTCCCCAACCCACCCCAGCGCCATCCTTGCATTGAGAGACGCGAGGAGATCATGGCACATCCTAGTGGTGTATCAAAGGACCAGGCTCGACGCATCTACGGCCAGATGCTGCTTTACGATAGGACCCCGGCTCTTGAGTTGGGACATAACGCGAGAATCACTGGCATTACCTGGCCTGAGCAGTACCTCGGTGATTGGTGTTTCGCATGGCATGATGGAGTGCAAGCATCCGTCCCCTTCGAACTCATCAGATTCGATCCTCCCCCGAGCAATATGATTCGATATGATAGGAGCAGTCTGCTTCAGGCAAAGGCCAGGTGGAAGTTTTCTATCAAGGAAAAGAACAAGGACAAGGACACGGTGAACTGGCTCAAGTTCGACAAGGGCGATGTGATTACCAATATATCTTGTGAGTGGATGCGTTCCGGACCCAAGTACATGGATGGGAATTTGCTGACATTTTTTTTCTCTGGCTAGATGTCAACGCGGATAATTGGTGCTGGACCGGCACAAATTCCAAGGGCAAGACGGGCATTTTCCCCAAGGACTTCATCGACACGAAGCAGCTGCATGCCGTCGCAACACCGTCCTCCGCCCGAGCCCTCTCCATAAGCGAGGAGAAGAATCGCTCCCTGTCCGTTTTCAGCAAGCTGGGAAAGCGCAAGAACTCGACGGCTCGGCCTCCCAGCATTGCAGGCTCAACCAGCAGCCACGAGACGGGACTTTCTGCCAACAAGAACGCAGCGAACTGGCGGTAATGACCACCTGCAGCGAAGCATGTGCATGTGAATTTCTAGAATGTATACCATTGGATTTTTTTTTTAGAAGGTTGTTTATTTAGTCAGAGCCTGGAGTTAGTCGGTTTCGGTTGTTTTGGAAATTATACCCTTCTGCCGCAAGTTGTCGAGCTTGCGATCCGTCACGGACGGCTGCGCGTGTCTTTGGGTATTATCTTCGGTTTCATGTTTTGTCTATTTTCTTTCCTGATAAATATATCTCAAGAGGCATGAAATAGAGAATCAGATTGATCTTTGCAGTTGTGCTGGTTATCAGTAAGCCCGATGAAACCCGAGCCAGTGCGGAAGGAAGGGCGAGAGGTCCGAGCGCCGTTCTCTCTGGGCAGTCCCCGGGTTATCTA